TTGGTGTGCTTCGTTTCAGTTACGTATTGCTAATTTAAATTTCGCGCTGGGAGTTCAGGTGGTGGCTCTGCTGTAAAAATGTCAAAGTTGCCGCGACATTTATTTCCTGACTTGTCCTCGTTTGACACTTTAGTTTTTGTACGAGTTTTGGGTTTAAATAAATAGTGTTGTAAAACTTAAAGCTTGAAAATGTTTGCTAGCAGACCTTGCAGTTGAACACTGTTCTTTAGAACCTCTTTTAATGCAAAGGAGTGTAAAGTGGTACATGGTAGCTTAATGGCCGTAAAAACTCATCCCGCTTTATTAGAATTTTTTGAGTAGTAATAGCTCTTTATGTCCCTTATGTGCTGTTAAGGAGATGAGTTTTGTTGATGTAAATAATATTTTTTTATATATTTATAATTAATTTATTTTTGTTTCCTAAAATATTGAAAAAAATATATAAAAGTGGACAACGCTGTGCCGGTCAAGCTTAATCACGCGACTAAAAGTTTATTTGGTATGAACCATACATTTATACGACGTTTTTTTGGAATAGATCGATGAACCTTCTTAAATATTAGCATGTCATTAAAACACACCCGGGATTTATTAAAAACGAGGAGAAAATTTAGAGAAGTTAATAAAGCAGCGAGTATACCAGAAATGAAACCACACAGAAAATAATAAAAAAATTGTAATGCAAATCTTACAACATTACACTTTTTTATTTAATATTAAATTGTTTAAAAAATATATCATAAAATGATGTTCATTCTTTTTAATATCCCCGATTTATTATCTCCTCTAAAAAAACAAAAACAGAAATCGCTAGTCAATATCGAGTTAAAATATATTTTTATGGAATAAGACAGAAATTTGGTGTAAATATAAATAAAAATCAAATAAATTCCTGAATAAAAATTCAGTTACTTTAATATAAAGCATGTCACCGTTTTTTTAAACTTTAAAGCATATCACCTGCTTCTCAGTTATCTATGATATGTCTCAATAATGGGTAATTTTTAAATAGAAAATAATAATTTAGAACTGGCTATTCAAAAATAGAATATACATTTAATACAATATGTTTCTCATTAGGCCACACAATACAAAGGTTAAAGGTTATGTTTTGAACATTTTTAGACTCATATACTAATCACAGATACCGTGTCGTTCCGCATATATATTTTAGGAAAATAGAACACCATTAACAAGCTTTACCTCGGGTTTTCAAGTCGAGAAAAACTATACTTATTTGAATAAAGCTTGATTTTCATGCATCCGTTGTCCGACGATACGATATTAATTTTATTGGTAGAATGGAAAGACTTCAATTTGTTAGAAAATTACGCAGTTTTTAAATTTACTGCATTTTCATGTCTCCGTTCATCGGATATACGATTTGCTTGCTATTGGTGTCATTTTATATTTTCATTTCTATAACGACATTCTTTTGCTATGCTCTCCTGAATAGAGTGCGGACCGTATGGCTGCCGATAGACGTTGCGTTCACTACTGCGCATCATATCTGTATTCAACATCTGTTCAGTACAGCGCATCACAAATTCGCCCTGAATTTCAGGAACTAAGGAGGCTAGGACAAATATATGTGTAGCATATTTAGTTTCATAAAAACTATATACTCATAAAAGAGAAATCCCATAAAACACACGAAAATGGGATACCCTGTACAGATGTGATGCGCAGTAGTGAACCGCAGTAGTCTACCGGCAGCCAGACGGCCCGCACTTTGGTCAGGAGACAATAGCTGAGAGAAAGATATATTAAAGAACCAGCTTTTTTAAAATTCTCGTTTTCCCGACGCGACGGTGGTAGCTCTTGTACTATTATATTTTTATTAAGGTTAAATAAATTTGTCAAAAAAGTGTCAAAACGTCCGTTAGCGTACGATCTTTTTCCGTTGACGGGCTGGAGTAAAAAAATTACGGTTGAAAAGTGGCGCGAAAACGCTATGAGCAATCAGAGCGCCATCGGACTATCGTATCAACGGACGACGGACGCATGAAAATCAAGCTATAAACTAAGCAGTTTTCCATTACATTCACTCTTGAAGATGGTTAGATACGCAGGCTTGGTCATCTTAAACCCTTTGTCTGGATATTTTAACATTAAATTTTGAGTTGATACATTTCTTCTACGCTGTAATGCTTCTAGCGTCACTTATGGAAAGTACCATAAGATCGAAAAAAAAAAACGGCTGGGAATGACAGTCGATGGTAATTTTGACGAGGTCAAGCTCTAGACGTCGTTACTTGATCCGTACTCTTCTTTATTTTCTAATGGCGCTTACTGCGCTTATTAGTGTTAATTTCTGACAAAATTTATTCCAATTTTCAGTAATTGACATCTAGGAATTGACCTCGCCAAAATTATCATCGATTGTCATTCCCCAGCCGTATTTGAAGCCGTTTTTTTTTCGATCACACTTAGGAAATGCAATCCCGCACCAAAATCTCAATCCCGCAAACCCGCGGGATTAAAGCAATCAATCCCGGATGCGCGGATCCGCAAAATTGCGGGACTGTAAACAATAGTCATACATTTGGTCCTAAATGGTACAAAAGGCATTGTACATTTTGCATAGGTCCATAATATATTGATATAGCGTGTATCTTAAACTAGCTGTACAGAAATTTGAACCGATGTATACAGGGTGTTCAAAAAATATATTTAATATTAAATAAACTTCAATTTTATTATAATTTGTCTACTTATTTTACAAATAAAAATATTATTCTGATGTTGCAGTTTTTTTAACGTGCTAGTTATCTGCTTTAAGATACACTCTATATCAATAATTTTTTGGCATATGCAGAATGTAGAAAGCTTTTTGTACTATTTAGGGCCATATGTACGACTAAAAATGCATATTTTTCGAAAAAAAAAGTTGTATTTTCCTTAAAACCAAAAAAAAATTAAAAAAACGATCAAATTGTGTTTTCTAATTTCAATACAGATGAGTCGTACTTGGTAAAAATTTCGATTTTTTAAAAATTGTAAATTTGCGGTAAAAAAGATACTTGACCAAATTTTCACACTCTTATAAAACACCCTGTATACGAGAATTCGCTAAATATATTTTCGAAAACCACATAGCATCTTAATCACAATAGATGCAATTAATAATAGTGTATTTAAACTACTGGAAATATCAAATAAATCCAATTCAACAAGAATTGATTTTTAATTACTAAATATGAATATTACTTTGTGTTTTGTCTATTTTAATAAATCTCTTTTATAATTTTCTTTTTGATATACCGTGTACGACAAAAGTGGCTCACCCTTATAACTTTTTTATTTTCTCAGATACAAAAAACTAAATTTGGTATGTATAACATAAAAAATTAGGATTGATTGACGTATTCAATTGTTTTTGTCATTTCCTGTTTCATCGGAAATGACTACAACTTTTGATTTTTAAATGGCACCATCGGTATATTTCTACTTTATTTGATAGAAAATGACACTCTGAATAGAATGACATATCATATGTCAACTTTTGACATTTTTGCTTAAAAAATCGTATTTTAAAGTTTAATCTAGAGTGTCATGGCTGTGTTAAAAACGCTAATTTTTAATCAAGTAGCTTTGGAAAATTAGATTTGATCCTCTAATGTTTTTCGTGTCTTGTCCTGGCCAGTTAAAAGATGCCCAAATCGTATTTTAATTGTATCCCAATTTTTTCAAATGGAACAAGGGTAGCTCATTAGCATTTTTGGAGAAAGCATTTTTTACGAAATATTTGGTACCGCGCATTTGGTATTTCGAGTCAAATTATCGTTATGAACCGCATGTTACAATTTCAAATAAACCATATGCGAAAATTTTGACATATGATGTGTCATTGTATTCACAGTGTCATTTTATATCAAATAAAGCAGAAATATACCGAGGGTAATATTTAAAAATCAAAAGTTGTCATTTCCGGTAAAACAGGAAGTGACCAAAAACAATAGAATACGTCAATCAATCCTAATTTATGTTATATACTAACATACCAAATCTCGTTTTTTTATCTGAGAAAATAAAAAAGTTATAGGAGTGAGCCACGTTTGAGACGCACCCGGTATATATCTGCATTTGATTAAGTATTTCTTAAGATTAAATTTCTCTAAAAAAACCCTATGAGTAGCCCAATAGTTAGTAATACTACTTTAAAAAGTATATTTTGATTTGACACCATCTCAATTATCACATGATTTGTTAAATTATTTTTCCACATAAAAGTACAAATAAAGTTTAACATTTTTTAGACTTATAATGAAAATGCGCCCAAAAGACATGAGAAAAAGACTTATGGTGAAATTCCGAGGTGAGGAAGGCTTAGACTACGGTGGTGTAGCCAGGGAGTGGCTCCATCTACTCTCGCGTGAAATGCTGAACCCCCAATACGGCCTCTTCCAGTACAGCAGAGAGGATCATTACACCCTTCAGATTAACCCCGACTCCTCGGTGAATCCCGAACATTTGTCCTATTTCCATTTCGTGGGCAGGATTTTGGGAATCGCCGTGTTCCACAACCACCAGTTGGAAGGTGGTTTCACCCTGCCTTTTTACAAGCAGTTGCTGAATAAACCGATCACCCTGCAGGATATTGAAGGGGTCGATCCGGAGTTGCACAGAAGTTTGACGTGGATGCTGTAAGTTATCGTTTTTATTTTTTGGGGATTATCAGTTTTGTTAAAACATTATTGCTAGATATACAGGGTGGTCCAAATTGCATTCCGCAAACTTCGGCAGCATATTCTGCAGATAAAAGTACATAATTATAAAAGTTCATATAAATGTATGTCCTGAAATGCTTAATTTCGGAGATACAGGGTGTAGAAGTTTCATTTTTATTTCGATTTTTTCCAAATAATTTCTGAAGTAACTTCAATATTTGGATGAAAATCGGTTTCTAGGAGTTTTTTGAAATGAGAACATTAATTTTGATGTCAATATGACTTCTAGATGTAGAGGGCGCCACCTCTATATTTTTTTAACTGGTTTGAAGAGTAATAAATTTTCGGCCGTGCCTGTATAAAACTACTGAGAAAAAATATACATTTGCGACGTTTTTTACGTAAAAAATGTCTTTTGGTAAAAATCGCTACGAGTAATGGTTCTCGAGATATTTGGAACCAAAATTATCAATACCTGTCATCATTGACATAAATTAAACATGTTGACGATGTCGGTGAATCATTAGACTGAAATTATAAATTTGAAATTTTTTTGTCCCAAAAGTTCAACAAAAAAAGTTTTTTCGAAGAAAAATTTGTGATTAATTTAAAAAAATAAAAAGTTTCCAAATTTATAATTTCAGTCAAATAACTACCGACTCAACATGTTAATAATAAATAGTAATAATAAAAGTATTTATTTAATCCAGTTGAAAAAAAAAACAAATAATTACATAATATATGTTTCAAGACGGCCAGATCTAGCATAGCTATTCCATCTAACCGTATAATAGGTAAAAATATATAAACAATATATTTATCTATTTATATCTATACATGCAAATAGGTTCTCCAATTTCTTAAAAACTATGTATTTTACTTTAGATAGTATTTCTTTTAATTTATATTTAAAACTAATTATACTTGACGAATTTGTTATAATATCCGGTAACGAATTGAACAGTTTAGCAGCGTTGTAACTAAATATTCTTTGGAATAATGCAATTTCTATTCTAAATATCTTAAGAACGGTTGCTCGTAGCAATTTTTAACATTTTTTACGTAAAAAATAACGTAAATCTATATTTTTTACGGACGAAAAGTTATTACTTTTTAATACAGTTATAACACATGTAGGTGGCGTCCCCTACAAATGGGAGTTAAATTGACATCAAACATCAAAATCAAAATCAGTTATTATGTCAAAAACTCTCAGACACCAATTTTCATCCAAATATTGACGTTAATAATTTGGAAAAAATCGAAATAAAAAAGAAATTTCTACACCCTGTATCTCCGAGACTAAGCATTTTAGGACATACATTTACACAAACTTTTTTACTTATTTTTATCTGCAGAATATGCTGCCGAAATATCCGTAATACAGTTCGGACATATACCATTGAAACTGTAAGTAAGATACATTGTTCTGTGTTATAAACATTTACGACTAGTTTTTAAAGTAAAAAGTATTGCAAAAATACTTTATGACGAGCACTGTATAATATACATGTTTATTTCAGTGAAAATAACATAGACGGTGTACTAGACACGACCTTTTCTGTTGAGAACAACAGTTTTGGAGTCGTGAAAGTGCACGAATTGAAACCAGGTGGTGCTACCATAGCAGTTACTGAAGATAACAAGAGGGAATATGTTAAACTTTACGTTAATTACAGGTAATATTAATATGACGAATAAAAGTTATTATTACTACTAAATTAATTCATAAAAATTATTTTCATATTTCAATAAACAAATGTCTAATAAGTTTTTTTTGCTAAAATTTTCGCGTTTAATTTTTGAGTTCTGAATACATTGTAATTAGAGGAACGACTATATAGCTTCATTCAGAACCTCCCAATTAGTGGTTTCAATTACACTTTCTACTTTTTAGTTTATGATCATTCACAATGTCTAAAAAACATAATTAAAATTAATAAAATATCCTAGCAACAGCTTGCGGTAGTCTGTTGTATCCATAGAGAAAGCATAATATTTAGCTTATAAAACAAACAACTTTTGATTTCTAACCAAAATTTTTCTTGACGGGTGATAATCAAAGGCCAAAATGATATTCGTCGCAAATTTTAAAGTATAATTAGTGGACAAGTTAAAAGTTTGATAACTTTTTCTACTAATTGAAAATATCAACCACTAATTTTGACTTTCTGAATGCTTACATTGAAGTTAAAGGAACAAACTTTGATGTTAATTGACACCACTAATTTTTTCCACTAATTGCGAGGTTCTGAATCAATCTTAAGTCCGAAATGAGAGTATTATTTCAGACCATACTTTTGTTGGATCTTCAAAGTTTTTTTTATTATAATTCAGGTTTATGAGGGGTATTGAACAGCAGTTTTTAGCCCTTCAAAAGGGATTTACTGAACTCATACCTCCGGCATCTTTACGACCTTTTGACGAAAGGGAGTTGGAATTAGTTATTAGCGGAATTGGTAAGTATAATATGATTTTTTTGAACTAACAAAAAGTTACAAATTTAACATTTATAGGGTCTATCGATATCGCTGATTGGAGGTCCCATACCAGATTGAAGCACTGTACTCCAGAAACGCCAGTAGTTCAGTGGTTTTGGCAGGTGGTAGAGTCTTATTCTGAAGAGATGCGGGCCAGGTTGTTGCAGTTCGTTACCGGTAGTTCGAGAGTACCGTTACAAGGCTTTAAGGCATTGCAAGGTAAGTTTAAGTAAATTACCCAACACTTACTTTTCGGGGCGATCCACAGTGATTGAAATAGTTGGCAGTACATACATTGTTAGGATATTTTAGGATAACGATTGGTACCGAAGTCTAAAACAAATTAGCGATTGAAAAATTACACAAAATTACGCCAATTCATTCAGCACATAATTTGCTATATTTTCTTTTGTATCTTGTAAATTTGCAGGTTTTGTCATAGCTACATAATTATAATAATTTTAGAAGATGTTCATAAAACATTTAATCAACTAGTTGATTAAAAAATTATACCATTAATATTGCAAATTATATTTCTTCCTCTCATAGTATATTTCTATTTAATTTTTTGATAATGTAACGAGCACTTTGTTTACTCATTTGTTTCGTCGAACTACTTGAATCCATTTTTGCTTTTGATCAAATCGGTGTAAGAAATTATGAAGCTATAAAATGTTGTTTCGGGAGAGTTGAATATCCGGGAAAGTTTAGTTATGGAATGTTAATGCCCCCAACAACGCCCTAATTACGCTTTCCTTTACACGTTAGAAGTTTTTCGGCAATTTTATTAACATCTGAAATTGTGAAAACACAACACTACGCCTAATTCGAATTCTTTTTCACTTATTTTTTACTAGCCCAAACAGCGTTACATCACACAAACCTCGTACCTGAGTGTTTTAGAGTCTCAAAAACTGCACTAGCAAAAAACTAAAATACGTGACTGTGGCGTGAAGTACATAATGATAATTTCTGATTTCTGCCGTAGAGTGCGCTGCCTATAATTTAATTTGTAATTTACAGGTAGTACGGGAGCCGCGGGCCCTCGACTTTTTACCATCCACTGTATAGACGCACCGCCCCAAAACTTGCCCAAAGCCCACACCTGCTTTAATAGGATCGACATACCTCCATACGAAACGTACCAAGCCCTACTGGAGAAGCTGACTCAAGCCGTTGAAGAGACTTGTGGTTTTGCGGTGGAATGATAAAACGAATTTTAAGGTAAGCATGTGTATGTGTTGGTAAACAATCTCCTCATACGAAATTGAGGTGGTCTATTTATTTTTTTTATCTCCAGTCTTTAAGGCTAAATTTGTTTCTTACAACATATAAAATATTCCAAATACAAACCTCTGCCAAAACTAATGTAATTAATAATAGGTAGGTATAATCCAAGGACTGTATATATTCTAAAGGACTGTTCGATCGCGTCAAATCGCCGCTGTCGTAGTCGCCGTGGAATGCTACGTCACGCGCTGACCAGCGCTCCACAGTGCGGCGGATGGTTATTCTAGCGGGACAAAATCTCAAGAGCAATGTTTGGGACTTAAAATCTAAGAACGTAGCAAATGGTCTAATATATAGCAACTATATGGTTAAATTTATTTATTTATTAACAACTTAATTTATTAATAAATAAATACAAGATAATAAAACGATATGATATTATTCGTACATGATACACAAAAACCGTATTGTAAACTATTGCCAAATACATAAAATTATGATATCAAAAAACTCTTTAGCAGTTATTTTTAAATTAATTTGTAATCTTGTGACACCCTCTATAATTTATTTTAAAAAAATATATTTTATTTTGAAAATAATAAATAAGATAGATATTTTAATTTTAATTTTAACACTCGGTAATTGTAAATTCATATATTAAGTATCTAAGACAATTTTTTAAACTCAGTGCCTTTTGATGGAGTTGTTTTGTTTTTATACTATCCGATTGAAATGAATCTTTTTGGGCATTCACCTGTTAAGCTTGAACTCCCTGTGACTGCGACTACCTGTGTTGGTAACTATTGGTAACTCAAAAGATCTACATCATTCAATATATCGATATTTGAAAAAAAAGTGTAAGTTTGATATCTGCAGAACAAAGGCACGAAGGATTTTAACAAATAATATACATACAGTAGAAAAGTACATACCTTTGGCAATCTTCAACATAATTTGGCTTTCTAATAAAATGTATAAGCATTTGTAAATATTTTGTTTTCGTATGATCTCTGCCTTGCTGAGCAGAAAACGACCAAATTTGGTTGATAAAAATGTATCGAAATACAAAGAATATTCATGCATTTTTTATCAATTGTAATGTCTACTATTTATTCTTATCAGTACACATTTTTTGGCTTATTTCTAACCAAACGCTTTTGTCCCGCTAAATTTATCTTCCAACGCACTGTGCGCTCGTCCGTCAAATGCAAAAATAACTGTCACTGTCTAAAATCTTTAGCGCCAACTTTAACTCGGTCAGTAGATGACGTAAAAAAACTGACAGTGCATGAAGATAGGAATCGAACTATCCTTATCTCTATATAGTAAACGCTACGAATGTTTGGGAGTGATTCATCGGTCGCTACCATGTGAACTAATCTGTTCAAGGTCACATAAAACTTAATTCCAGTGCCGTGGTGTTTCAAGTCATATAATAATCAATATATAATCTGTTGTAATTTGTTGTTTGAACTGTCAAAGTCTTGTCAAAACATATATTTGGTTATAAATATAAAATGGAATGCCCCATTGGTCGTACTGCAAGCACACCAATGGACTGGCGCACAAAAACGAATCAATCAAAGAAACGCGATATAGTATCGTCTTTGTCAATCACGCTAACATTTTAGAATAAGTAGGAGAAGCGCAGGCAGATGATTAGACCGGGTCTTTAAAAACCTACGTCTGCGGTAAAAATTTACGTTTTTAATATAAAAATGATAGCGCGCGTGTCGATTCTAACTTCATCAAGCGATGAATCACTCCCAAACATTCGTGGCGTTTACTCTAGTATCCTTGTGTGTTGGTAATCTCCTCATGAAATAGAGGTGGTCTATTTATTTTTTCATCTCCAGTTTTTAAGGTTAAGTTTGTTTCTTACACCATATAAAATATTCCGAATATAAACCTCTGCCAAAACTAATGTAATTAATAATAGGTAGGTATAATCCTACCGACTGCGCCATATTTAAAATGTACTTCATATTATAATAATATGCGGAAATGGAAACTTACAATGATTGTGACCCTATTTTTAATAAAATCAAAAATATTTTCTATTTATTAATTGTATGTGCAATTTTCAGGTGATAATTGTTCTGTTTAGTGAACAATTTATCACACCTAATGGATACATCAACTAGAATAGGACAAACGTGCATTTGGCTTTGAAGACTGTAAAGTGCCTTTTCCCACCTCTGCTCTCACACACCGTTCTGACATTCAAGTGCCTATATGCTAGTCAATTCTAAAAAAGCTATTAAAACAACACCTTAGATTCTACACAGATTAGAAGAAAATATATATTCGTAACGGTGTTATTTGCTCGTACAATTTTTTTAAAGCAATATATTGAAAATGTATGCAATATATAGTTATTTTTCCATTGTATGTAGTATACAGGGTGTCCCAGAAATAAGTGCAAATATTTTAACTGGTAGTATAGTTCAACACACCAGAAACACGCCTATGGGGGTTTGTTTTTTGCGAAAAAAAAATTTTGCAAATTCGAAATTTTTTGGAATTTTTTTTAGTTTTTAGTTAAAAAACATAGTTTCTTGATAATATGGCAACATAGGTATTAGATTAAATTTACAAGAAAGAAAATCCAGAAAATATCCAGTGGTTCTCAAAATTTAACAAAAAAAATTTTTTTTTTGAGATTTTCAAAGTAAAATAACTCCGTTATTTTGGACTTATTTGAAAAACGATAAAGAGAAAATATGTTTCTTTTATCAAGATCTACCACCCCTTAAAATACTTGTACTTATTTCTGGGACACCCTGTATATTATAAGCAGAGTTTGGTTATTTTAAATCCGTATTTTAATGCATAAGACAAAGATCATTCACTTATAACCGGTTGATAGAAAGAGACACGATGAAATGCAAGGTTGCCATATGCGAGACATGCTTAAAGATGAGCTAAGAAGGAATTAAATTGAATTTAGTTTGCAAAAACCAATTGCATTTGGTAAGTTCTGTGAGGGTACTTCAACTATACAATTAGTAAAGTCTGTCCAACAAGGGGATGCCAGTTGATAGTTGTCTGTCATTTATTTCATAGCTGAACTTATTTGGGCACGAATCAGTGCTTTTTGCAATTTATTTGCACTCTATGGTAATGTGTAGTGTGATTAGGGAATGCAATCCCGCAAATACGGGATCCCTCTGAGGTTCCGCGGGATCAAATTTGCGAGATTTACCGTGCGGGGTCCGCGAGATCAACACATTATTACTAGGTAACCGAATCGATCTCGATTAAGATCAAACTGCTTCGTTCCGGGCTGATGCGTCGACGCTCGGAACCCGGGGGATTCCCCTTACGGCTTGGCCATTAAAAATAAGTGAAACAAACAGGTTAGTTATTAGATTTCTTTCTGGCGTATGTGCGTAAGTGAAGAAAAGCGTTTAACTAGTGCTTGTGGACACTTTCGTCAAATAAATTGCCGGACATAATTATCGGTACAAGCAAAATTTTAGGGTAAATTTAAAGTTGAATATCTCTTGAACTAAAAAAGATTTTGAGATGCGGTTTGGACCAGGTTTTAGATGCATCTATTGTGATTAAGATGCTATGTGGTTTTCGAAAATATATTTAGCGAATTCTCGTATACAGGGTGTTTTATAAGAGTGTGAAAATTTGGTCAAGTATCTTTTTTACCGCAAATTTACAATTTTTAAAAAATCGAAATTTTTACCAAGTACGACTCATCTGTATTGAAATTAGAAAAAACAATTTGATCGATTTTTTAATTTTTTTTTTGGTTTTAAGGAAAATACGACGTTTTTTCGAAAAATATGCATCAATATATTGTGGACCTATGCAAAATGTACAATGCCTTTTGTACCATTTAGGACCAAATGTATGACTATTGTTTACAGCCCCGCAATTTTGCGGATCCGCGGGATTGATTGCTTTAATCCCGCGGGTTTGCGGGATTGAGATTTTGGTGCGGGATTGCATTTCCTAAGTGTGATCGAGAAAAAAAAACGCTGTCAAATACGGCTGGGGAATGACAATCGATGATAATTTTGGCGATGTCAATTACTGAAAATTGGAATAAAATTTGTCAGAAATTAACACTAATTATAGAAAAATTAAAAAAGGATAGAACACATTTCCAGATACACAGATCTATTTCAAAAAAAATATTTTGTGAAAGCGTTTTGAAATTGACAGTTTTTGATATTTATTTGAGATTCGAAATGACATTCTTTTAGGCACTAGTTTCTAAAAGTGACACTTGTGTAGGCACTAGTGCCTAAAAGTAAAAAATGGAACGTTAGATACAGTGAAAATATTTATTTATTATTAATCTTAAAGGTACAATAATTATTTAAATTATTAAAGTGAATACAAGAGGCATCCAACTTTTCGTCTCTAAGAGAAATGCAAGTTGTATGAGTCGGAATAAGTAAATTTCTTGTACTGGCAATACTGGTAGCTGCTGCTTCTACGTGAACTGCTTTTAATTTCTTATTTGGCACATCTTTCTGTCCCATGATTCTTTTTGCTAGTTCGGTTTTCTGGAAACAATGACCAGTGTATTCAATGCCGTTGGAGAGTCCAAGAAATTCCGCGATCTTTTTTGGCATACCTCCAATTGTATTGATTCCAACTGGCAGGGTACAGCATTGATTTTTTCGATACGTCAAGAAAAATCGCTGATGTGTCACATTTTTACTCAATATAAAAATAAATGACGACCTTCTTTACGTGGCCAACTGGCAGTAAGCGCCATTAGAAAATAAAGAAGAGTACAGGTCAAGTAAAGACGTTTAGAGCTTGACCTCGCCAAAATTATCATCGATTGTTATTCCCAGCCGTCTTTGACGCCGTTTTTTTTTCGATCGTATGGTACTTGCCATAAGTGACGCTAGAAGCATTACAGCATAGAAGAAATGTATCAAGACAAAGGGTTTAATATGACCAAGCCTGTATATCCAACCAACTTCAAGAGTGAATGTAATGGAAAACTGATTAGTCTAAAGCTTGATTTTCATGCGTCCGTTATCCGTTGGGACAATGGTCCGATGCCGCTCCGATGGGTCATAGCGTTTTCGCGCCACTTTTCATCCGTAATTTTTTTACTCCAACCCGTCAACGGAGAAAGATTGTACGATAACGGTCTTTTTTACACTTTTAAAAAATTTAATCTAACCTTAATAAAAATATAATAGTACAAGAGCTAGCACCGTCGGGAAAACGAGAATTTTAAGAAAGCTGGTTCTTTAATATATCTTTTGCTATACTTTCATGTCTCTCCTGACCAAAGTGTGGGCCGTCTGGATGTGGGTAAACTACTGCGGTTTACTACTGCGCATCACACCTGTACAGAGTATCCAATTTTCGTGTGTTTTATGGGATTTCTCGTTTATGAGTAGAGATACAATGATGCGATTTTCACATTGCTTTGCTACTTTTTTATGAAACTAAATATGCTACACATATATTTGTCCTAGCCTCCTTAGTTCCTGAAATTCAGGGCGAATTTGTGATAGCTGTACTGAACAGATTTTGAATACAGATATGATGCGCAGTAGTGAACGCAACGTCTACCGGCAGCCATACGGTCCACACTCTATTCAGGAGAGCATAGCAAAAGAATGTCGTTATAGAAATGAAAATATAAAATGACACACCAATCGCAAGCAAATCGTATATCCAATGAACGGATGAAAATGCAATAAATTTAAAAACTGCGTAATTTTCTAGCCAATCGATTGTCGAAATCGATCGAAATTGAATTTGTCTTTCAATTCAACCAATAAAATTAATATCGTATCGTCGGACATCGGATGCATGAAAATCAAGCTTTATTCAAATAGGTATAGTTTTTCTCGACTTGAAAACCCGAGGTAAAGCTTGTTAATGGTGTTCTATTTTCCTAAAATATATATGCGGAACGACACGGTATCTGTGATTAGTATATGAGTCTAAAAATGTTCAAAACATAACCTTTAACCTTTGTATTGTGTGGCCTAATGAGAAACATATTGTATTAAATGTATATTCTATTTTTGAATAGCCAGTTCTAAATTATTGTTTTCTATTTAAAAATTACCCATTATTGAGACATATCATAGATAACTGAGAAGCAGGTGATATGCTTTAAAGTTTAAAAAAACGGTGACATGCTTTATATTAAAGTAACTGAATTTTTTATTCAGGAGTTTATTTGATTTTTATTTATATTTACACCAAATTTCTGTCTTATTCCATAAAAATATATTTTAACTTGATATTGACTAGCGATTTCTGTTTTTGTTTTCTTAGAGGAGATGATAAATCGGAGATATTAAGAAGAATGAACATTAATTTATAATATATTTTTTAAACAACTTAATATTAAATAAAAAATGTAATGTTGTAAGATTTGCATTATCATTTTTTTTATTTTCTATTTGGTTTCATTTCTGGTATACTCGCTGCTTTATTAACTTCTCTAAATTTTCTCCTCGTTTTTAATAAATCCCGGGTGTGTTTTAATGACATGTTAATATTTAAGAAGGTGATTCTTCGATCTATTCCAAAAAAAACGTCGTATAAATGTATGGTTCATACCAAATAAACTTTTAGTCGCGTGATTAAGCTTGACCGGCACAGCGTTGTCCACTTTTGTATATTTTTTTTAATATTTTAGGAAACAAAAATAAATTAATTATAAATATATAAAAAAATATTATTTACATCAACACAACTCACCTCCTTAACAGCACATAAGGGACATAAAGAGCTATTACTACTCAAAATATTCTAATAAAGTTGCGATGAGTTTTTTACGGCCTTTAAGCTACCATGTACCACTTTACACTAAAAGAGGTTCTAAAAAGAACAGTGTTCAACTGCAAGGTCTGCCAGTAAACATTTTCAAGCTTTAAGTTTTACAACACTATTTATTTAAACCAAAAACTCGTAATACAAAACTAAAGTGTCAAAACGAGTGACAATGTCAGGAAATAAATAAAGAAATGCGGCAACGTGACATTTTTTTACAGCAGAGCCACCACCTGAATCCCCAGCGCGAAATTTAAATTCCAGTTAGTCAGCCCGGCGCCGAATATGTTCATGGTTGGCAACAATGAATTTTAAAATCGTGCCCTCGATTACGCAACTAAAAGTTTAATTGATATGAAATATATTATGTCCTAAACGTTTTAAATTTTGAGATACAGGGTGGTAAAATTTTCCAAATGAAACGTTTTCCATAGTCTGATGTTTTTTTTCTTTTTCAAAACAATTAATACGAACCCAGTTTGGACACCGCTGGTATATAATAAATAAAATTGTTTGTACATCAAAAAATTGGCGCCGGGAGGCACGTATAGCCGCCCATACTAAAATATGTTAAAAAAAAGTTGGTAGGCAGTTCTTTTAGTTTCAAAGTAAAGGAATTTTTCCAATTTTTTTTATCTCAAAAACTGTGACTTTGACTGATTTTGATGTTATTAAAAATTTTGTTGCAAATATTATTCCTAATCTTAAATTGAAAACCGCGTTTCGATAGCTACTGTAATTGTGGAGTTACGATTTTTTAAAATTTCTAACCCCCTCCCATACCCCCTTACCAACCTCCCACCCCTACCAAAAACTAATGGCCAGATACTCGGGTGCCACAATATTTTTGTGCCAAATTTGGTTAAAATCGGTATAGCGGTTTTTGACTTATCGTGTTACAGACAGACACCATAAAAATATTTTGTATTTAGGTAATTTATGACCCAAATAACTTATTTTGAGTGAAATTAAAATAACTTTTTTTGCCGACCTAAAAAGGCATTTTGACGTTCTATATCAGAGTTATTATGAAAAAAGTTGTTTTTGGAAAAATTTACCCTCCTGTAGCCCAAAATTTCAGATGTTTAGGGCATACATTCATATGAAGTCTGTTTCTTAGAATGGGTCCAAGAATCACTCCTTAAATATTAGCATGTATTAAGGAACACTATACAGAATATATGTTCTATATACAGGGTGTCCCAATATTCCGTGGACATCCAAAATTAGTACATTGGACACAATTTACCTCTACACAAAAGCGCTACGTTTGTCTATCAGAGGGCAACAAACTTTAAAAAAATAAACACATAAACACATTACAAAAATAAACACACAACGGTTCTTAAAATATGTTAGATTACTAGAGGTGTCTCTCGGCCTGGTCCACTGCGACCTTCTCAGATCTATTGTGGTCTAAAATATACAGGGTTGTTCACCACATACGACACGGAGTATTGTAGCTAAACGATTAGATTTTTACAAATTGTAAGTTTTGGGTTCGTTGAAGGACTATTAGAATACAAAATATCAAAAATATTTTTTAAGATGGAGTGTCCCAAATAAATAAAAATATCAGTTGCATTTTTTTAAATGGAATACCCGATTATTGCATTTTTCAGTTTCTACGATTAAAATAAAGGTTGATTAGCACTTGTACACTTAAACCTTACCGTTTTTGAAATATTTTCAATTTTGTAAAATTGCATTATAAATTTTAAGGCTTCATTTCTCCAAGGGTATCAAAGTTTTTAATGCTAAATATTTACTGAAGTTTATTGATCAGTTTTTGTATTGCAATAATAAAAATTATACTACCTTATACAGAGCGTCTAAAAATTTATTTTAAATAATTACTGGCTTTAAACGGCAATAACTTGTTTAATTTAAGTGAAATACCCTGTATATTTTATGAGAATCAGATGCACAATTTAATTGTCTATCAAATTGTATTATACCATCAAGTTTTCGTCTATCCCTTCAAGTTTTCGTAGAAAATGCATTTTCTTATAATTTAGACCTCATATATCAATATACCTATGGAATATTGACATTTTAGATTGTTTTTAAAATAACAAATGTACAAAATGTACAGGCTAGTAAAACGATGATATTACTAGCCCATTTGTATGCAAAAAGAAAACTATTTAAATCTTTATAAAAGTACCATTAATTAAATATACCACCAGTATTTCCGCGCAAATACTAATTAATTACATACTTGTGTTCGTTAATAAATTATTCTAAATAAATATGGATTTGAATCAGAAATCAATATAATAATAAGTTATGAAAATGAACATCTCTGTTGTTATAAATAAGCATTTGTTAAAAAATGAAATATCATTTTTAAGGTTTTAGTTTTTTTACCACACTGTCTAATACACATAAATAATTCAGTTTTTTAATATTTGGAGCAATTATTATTAATCAACGGAAACAGTCAATTAATGTAGTTTGAATACTGGAATCATATTAATTGGTCCTCTTTAACAAATATTTAAACAGTTTTTTTTTATTTTTTAATGAAATAAACGAACTATATTGACAATATTAGTATCTGTACTCTTTAAAAATTTCGTACATCTTTAAAAATAATCTAAAATGTCAGTATTCCATGGGTATATTGATAAATGAGTTCTAAATTACAAGAAAATGCATTTTCTACGGAAGCTGAAGAAGACAGATAAAAATGGTATAATACAATTTGATAGACAATTAAATTGTGCATTTTTGGTATAATAGTTGTAGTGTGCATCTGATTCTCATAATATACAGGGTGTTCTATTTAAATTAAACAAGTTATTGTCGTTTAACTCTAATAATTATTTAAAATAAATATTTAGACACTCTGTACAAGGCAGTAAAATGGTTATTATTGCAACACAATAACTGATCAACAAATAAACTTCAGTAAATATTTAGTATCAAAAACTTTGATACCCTCGGAGAAATGAAGCCTTAAAATGTATACTGCAATTTCACAAAATTGAAAATATTTCAAAAACGGTAAGGTTTAAGTGTAATAAACCTTAATCAAATTTACCTTTATTTTAATCGTAGAAACTAAAAATGTAATAATATGCAGGGTGTTCCATTTAAAAAAATACAACTTTGATATTTTTTATTTATTTGGGACACTCTGTAACTTTTTAATTTTTAAATTGTAGCTCTAATAGTCCTTCAACGAACCCAAAACTTACAATTTGTAAAAATCTAATCGTTTAGCTACATTATTCCGTGTCGTATGTGGTGAACAACACTGTATTAAAAAATGTGTTTATTTTTTTTTTTAAGTTAAGTTTGATGGTCTCTAGCGGTTATCGAAGCACTTTTGTATAGATTAAATTGTGTCCGATGAACTTATTTTGATTTTAAAAATAGGTAGTAGTTCTATGTCCACTGAATATAGGGACAACCTGCATATAAAGTTCTATTTTTTTTAAAACTACCCAAATCTCTGTTACACATAATGATGCTATTAAATACTCATTCAGCTGATCAGTTACGTTTTAAGTGGAGTGCAATGATTTTTTACATATATATTTTTAGCACTATTATTAGTGTTTGTAATTTTTTGAAGTTTGATTGCACCTTTTTTATATATAAGCAGAATTGTGATTTATTTATAGTTTGTAAATAAAGAAATAGAATACCTTCTCTCACATTGTATTGTTACGCAGCAAAAATGTTTAAACGTTAAATATGATAAGATATATTGTTGGAAATTTATAAACATTATTTTTCTATACACAATGGACGAGGGTTCGTACGTACGCAATTAATAATTATCGTAGTTTAGAAAGAAGTTTTTCTTTGTTATATATATTTGTTGACGCGCCTATTATTATATATTAGTTATTTTTTTGTATAAATTTTGAGATACGAAATACTCCTAGTTGTATATATTTAATAAGGTTCATTTTTTTAAATAACTTTAAAAATAATATATAATAGAATTATTTGTATATTGTGTAAAATAAAATTGCAACCCAGTGATAAGATTTGTTTTATTTATTCCTTTGGTGTATTTTTCTAATTTTGGAACATTGTAAAGGAAAACACTAGATCTGATTTTATGAATCTGAGACAATATATTACAATATGATCGAAAAAAAAACGGTTATCGTCAGCGACGGCTATGAAATGAAGATAGCTGTCGTTTTATAGGCTTGGTGCATTTCAGTTGATTTCAAAAAATTCCGACTGCAGCGCTGTATACGGCAGAAATTAGAAATTTTCACTATGTATTTCACGCCGACCCGGTTAAAGTTCATGTTGATCGCATTAAAATAATATTGAAATCGCGGCTTTGTGATAATATTAAGTAAAGGGAAATTAAAACAACTTTCGTTGCACTTCATCAATGACACCATGCGTCGTCTTATGGTGTTTGCTGGTGGTCGTATTATGATGTGCAACCAAAGTTATTTTAATTTCCCTATATTTTAGTTTTTTGCTAGTGCAGTTATTGAAACTATAAAACTCAGGTGAGGTTTGTGTGATAAACGCTGTTTCGGGTAGTACAAAAATATATGAAAAAGAACCCGAACTAGGCGCCATGATGTGTTGTGACAATTTCAAATGTTAATAAAATTGCCGAAAAATGTTAACGCGTAAGGAGAGCGTAATTAGTTTCTTTAACTGGAATAATAATAAATTATTATAATACAAGTTAGACTTTCTGAAGATATCCAAATATTTACTTTTTTACTTTTATTTTTAGAATTTTCACAAATTATACTTTCTAACACTTTTAGAATAATTAAATAATAAATTTTTCGTACATTCGCTATTTAAACCCCTGTATTCGTAAATACTAGTTGTTGACGATATTCTCCGATGATGGCAGCACCGGCGGAGAATACACCAAGCCTATAGAGGACTATGTTTGGTACCTACTTGTTTCTACAGTAAAGTTTGCTAATTTATATTATTTCTTTGAGCTAAATAGGTATTAAAACACGAGATTGTCTCTTTCATTTAATTTTATTTCCAATGGTTTCATCAATAACAATTAATTATGAACTATTGTAAAAACAGACTGAAAGGAGCGCTAATAATAAAAAGACTTAAAAGAAATATCTGTCCTGTATAAATAAATACGTGAATATATTTGCCAATATGCCGCAGACGCGATAAAATAATCGAAAATACGTATAACGCACGTGCGGGACACCTTACACTAGCCTTTCATAGAACAGCAAGTGGGCCTGAGCCATCATGACCTTGGATTCGTTCACCTCGGACACAAACGAATCGCTGATGTAGTACCATTTACCCGCGGGTGATTCCACCGTCTCATCCCCGCGAACCGCCGAGTTATCCAAATGCTTTCTTCAGGTTTTTCCTTTGGTTTTTGGGGATGAAGTTCCAACTAGCCTTTCGTAGAAGAGCAAATAGGCCTGAGCCATCATGACCTTGGATTCGTTCACCTCGGACACGAACGAATCGCTGATGTAGTACCATTTGCCCGCGGGTGGTTCCACCGTCTCATCCCCGCGAACCGCCGAGTTATCCAATGCTTTCTTCAGGTTTTTCCTTTGGTTTTTGGGGATAAAGTTCCATCGAGGGCTGTTCTCGTCGATGCGCGGTCTCACCTTGACGTAGGAGACGTAGTGGCCGCCGTGGATGTTTCCGCTGTGTTCCACTACGCCGTAAAGAGAATAGAGGACCTTGGTTTGGTCGGGCTCGAACGATGGAAGATTCTGCGCGCGCTTGGAGCAGTAGGGACCCAGATCCAACATGGTGGAGAATTTCACAAATTTGTTTACTTTCATCGAACGAAATCGGTAAACCTGCAAAGGGTAAAGAACATAATAAACAATATTTCTCTCCTATTTTTAAATGGTTTTTCATGGCGACAAATTACAAAAGACTACTGATTTTATTGCAATGGCTTATAGAAAACAAAACCTAACACATCCAAATATTACTTTTTTTTTCAGCACTACAAGAAAATCTACAGAATAAAACTTATTTTTTATTTTGTTTCATTTTTGATATCAAAATTATTTGTTTGTTAGCTACCCAAGTAGCATTTTTAAACACAAAATCGAAACAAAAATGCAAAACCGTTTCGTCACATTTTTGATACATAAATTTCGTAACACATTATTGTTTGGATTTTGTCCTGCAGTTTTTGCATTTAAGTATTCTTCAAGTTTTTATAGTACGATAATTAAAAAAGTAGAAGGAAGGACATATGGCGAGTACAAATACAGATATTTTTCTTATGCGACTTTATAATAATTTATTATACGCATTACAGAGATGATTTGATTTAAGAATAAATGTAATAACAGCCACTACCCATACCCAACAGAAGACCGAAGAAAAATGTAACAAGCAAAAATTTTCTCTCTTTTTTCCACAATGGAATACATGTTTTTTATGTTTTAATTGTGTTATAATAAGTAAATAAAAATGTTTTAATTATTTTGACAAGAAGTTTTGATTGGCGTTGCTAGTTTGCGTTGCTAGTAGGTGACTAGTTCGAAATTTGTACACAGATAGCGCTAAATCGAAACATTTTGGAAACAAGGTTTGTATTTATTGTCGATTCATTTTCGAAACACGAGTTTCTCTCTTTTGAGACACAAATGTGATATAATGTAAATGATTTGTGTCCGACTCCATGTCAATTTTACAAAATAATGAATTAAAATTCCGCCATGTTGGCTAGTGATAGGGTTTTTAACTAAAAACATGTTTTTATCGGCTCTTGAGCTTTTAAACTCATAAGAACGCGTTCTACTTACATTAATTTATATGTTTTTATTTTCAGAACCATGATGTAGAAATAAAAATATATATTTCAAACAAATATTTTGTAGCAACAAAAATAATGACATATAGAAAGGGCATTAAAAATATGAAACTAAATGATTAAATTTAACGATGAATTTGCTTTTGCCAGACATTTTTTGTGCGAGAAAACCTAAAAACAAGACAAAAAAATTATGGCGGAGGTGGACATTGTTGATGGTTGTTTTTATTTTTAAATCCACACACAGACAAACTTTTTCAGTTTGGTATTTTGCTCGGTATTTTGTATCTTCACATTTAGAAACAGTGGCTGCTGAAAACGGGAACATTTTGGACACAAATTACAGAAAATGTTTCGAAACGTTTCCTCTAAAAGCTTTGATTCCGCATCGAAAAATTTCAGGAAACGACTAGTGCCACCACATTGGAAAAAAATACCGTTTCCCTTTTGTGTCAAGAAACAGAGACACGATTATTAGAAACATTAACTAAAATGTGTCCAAAAATGCTACTTGGGTATGCAAAAGAAATTATCTATAAATTAACGCATAAACGTATTTTTCAATAACTTAATAATAAAAAAAATATAATTTGTTGAGAACTTTTTGACACACACCCTGTATAAGCAAATAGGGAACTGAACGATTATTAACACTTTTATTATTTTAAAAAGCCATCGCCTCCCAAATTTTTGGCGCTAACTTATTTACACAGCTTCTATATCCAAAGTAGTTCAAATGTACCATTAAACACTTACGTTTTCCCATGCCTAAAACGACTTGTAGAGCACGAAAATAATAACAAACTCTCACCTGAAACCTCTTAAGGTGCAATATGAGTACGGCCGGAGGATTGTATATGAGCAATTGCTTCGAAGCGTCTCTGTACACCGTCTCTTTAGGAACTTTATCAGAACACTTGGTACAATTATCACAACTGACTTGGTTTCGTCCCATCATCAGTTCGCATTCGGTGAACTGATTCAGACAGGACTCGACCGAACATTCGCCTTCCTCGCACTGATATCTCGGAGCCAGGGTGCCGGAGTATTCTCGGTAATCTTCTGAGTCATCGTCCTCGTCCATCTGTAATAGAACGTCATTTTTTTCATTATTTTCTTCATGTAATTCACATTTTTTCTATTAATCTATGTTTATACGGGGTCGCTGTTATGTATGGAAACGTTCGATTATTAGGTAATATACTGGGTGCGTCTCAAAAGTGGCTCACCTATATAACTTTTTATGGTGGCTCAAAAGTGGCTCACCCATACAACATTTTTGCATTTGGTTTATTTGAAATTGTAACATGTGGTTCATAATGACAATTTGACTCAAAATACAAAGTGTTTGGTACCAAATTATTCGTAAAAAAATGATTTTTCCAAATATGCTAATGAGCCATCCTTGTTCCATTTGAAAAAATTGAGATACAATTAAAAAAACGATTTGTGCATCATTTAACCCGCCAGGACAAGACACGAAGAACATTAGATGATCAAATCTATTTTTCTACTCCTTGATTAAACATTAATGTTTTTAACACAGCCATAGATTTAAATTTAAATACGATTTTTTTGTAAGCGAAAATGTTAAAAGTTGACATATGATATGTCATTCTATTCAGAATCTGAAAAAATAAAAAAGTTATAGGGGTGAGCCACTTTTGAGACGCACCCGGTATACGAGCTACCGCAAAAAGTTAAATACAAAAGTTTTGCATTTTTAAATATCTATTAGCGAGTAATAAATTTAAGTATACAGGGTCGGTCATAAAGTCGTGGCACATAAAATAATGGAATACACACAATGTACCTCAAACCAAACGTTTCCGAGTTATTGACTTTTGAAAATATAACTTAAACAATTATTTGATTTAATTAATTTCGATATATTCAGTTTCATTTAACGATGCCATTCTGCCGAAACTGCGATACTTAATAATATTTGACATTAGTTCTCAAGTTAGCATTTATAGATGTATAAAATGAGATTATATCAAGTCTGGAAATTACAAAATTTTCGTTTAACATTTCAATTCTCCATTTTACGTACATTGTGTATTACAATTATTGCTTAAAATTGAAGGAAGAATTGTTTTAAAAAAAAGTTTGATATGCCACAACTTTATGACCGACCCTGTATACTTAAATTTACTAATAGCTAATAAGACATTTAAAAACTGATTACAACAGTATCACAGTTTCGGCAGCATGGCATCGTTAAATGAAACTGAACATACCGAGATTAATTAAATCAAATTGTTTAAGTGATATTTTCAAAAGTCAATAACTCGGAAACGGTTGGTTTGAGGTACATTGTGTGTATTTCGATTTTTGCTTAGAATTAAAGGAAAAATTGAAATATGCAATAATATACAAGGGATTCTATTTAAAAAAATGAAACTTTGATGTGCCACGACTTTATGACCGACTCTGTATACATAAATTTATTACTCGCCAATAGACATTTAAAAACCCTATAATTTTTGTATTTAACTTTTTGCGGTACCTTGTATTTCTTGCCTAATATTCGACCGGTTCCATACATAACAGCGACCCTGTATAGAGCCTTTTTAGGTTGTAATACTCTGAATAAGAAGACTAAGGAAGGAGCATAATGCTATCCATGTATTCATGCATGGTGGGCGGAAAAGGCACCATAAAAGCTCTCTAGGGTGGGGATCCTGGACAGTTCTGTTTGACGATTCATTTGACACATTTGAATTTGATTTGAAATTTTGTCGATTTGTCAGTCTTTATGGAGCTTATTTTATGTTATTTATTATTTATTCTACTACTGATAGTTGTATAAAGGTAGTAAATCTAGATGGAAATTGTGGCAGAACTTAAATTAACAGTGACACTATCGCGATTTATCGAAAAAGACTCTAAAATAGTTGGTTGTGTAGCGTGCGGTAGATCTCTGAAGATTTGCAGGTCCAATATTAAAACAGATCAATAATAAATAAACAAATCTAATCAATCAATAGCTTACAAAACATTCACAATTACTTGTTGTCTTGTTTTTCATGTGTTCTTTAAATATTCCTGACTTTAAGAAACAATGGCTGCATGATAAGTTTAAATGGTCCTAAAAAGTCATTCTATTTAGTTAATAAAATTTATTTACTTTTACTGCCTACCTCCATTGCTTTTGGATATAAATACAAAATATTATTAGAAAATTTAGAAATTAAATGAGAATTTCACTTGAACTTCCAATATTTGCTTGATTTCTGTCATTTCTGTCACATAAATGACATTGATTGACAAACAAAACCAGAAAAACAACCGTGTTGCGTGATAAGAAAACTTTCAGGAAACCGATAGAAACAGATCATAAAACCATAACCAAGGTAAGCAACGGATTACACCGTTAATCTTTTTATGATATAGACATAGACTAATACTCACGGTTCAGAAAAAAAGAAAAATAATAAGGAACTAATTCTATTTACCTCAGTATTGTCCTCTATATCTGCATCCGATTCCTCGCTGTCAGACTTATTTTCCATAGTCACGTCCGAGGTCGTCGGATTGGAAGAGGTGGGAACCAAACTGCTATTTCTTCCTTGTTTCTGTTTCTTACTCTTCTTTCGTTCCGCCCTCTTTTCCTTCTTGATCTGGTGCTTCGACGGCTTATTATCTTCGATCTCTTCGGCTTTTCTTCGCAAAATTGGCGCCACTTGTTTCTCAGAAATAGGTAAACTAAAAGAATATTATAAATTTTACCAACTAATTGCTTATTATTGCTACCGTTTAAAAAAACATATAAATTTACTAGCGTGTACCAGCGACTTCGTTCGCGTCGAATTAATCATTTGTAATGGTGATGATAAAGCAAAGCAAGAATTTCCATTAACATACAAACTGGATAAAGTTTTCTTACATTTATGTCAGCATGAGAAAAAACAATATGGCGATATTATTATATAACTTGGTAATATTTGAGGGGTAGTTTCATCTCGTTGGAATTTGTCTTTCGAAAAATCCGTTTGCCACAAATAAGCTTTTTACGTCAAGCAGTTAAGCAGAATCGTGGTTAAGAAATTACACAACTTTTTGGAACACCCTGTATGATTTTTTAAAAAAATTCAAAATATGTAAAAAACCAAATAAATTATGCTTGTCCAAGCGTTTTCCCGAAAGACTAACCGTTTTTTAAATAAGAGATTCGAGAAACCCCTCCTTATCGGACCTCTACACGCCACAGTCAATCCGTTCGCCAAAAATCAGTTTTAAACGTCAGTTTCCTAAGAGGTCACTAAATGATTTTATATATTAGTATAGATATTTGTTTTATTTTATAAAATAAATATTTACTTAATAATTATACTTGATAATATTAATAATTATATAATAATTATTATCAAGGAGCAAATAGATTTAGCGAAAAATCATAAGAGACCTTTTTTGTAGAGCGTTGAATTTACAATAAACATGACGCAATTAATTACTTTTGGTTCACTTGAGTTATGGAATTCTAAAGAACAAATGAAATTTTTCAACTATGAGAAACTTAGGTTGGAACGCGGACTATCTTAAAGTTAATATTAAGAGCTAAAATTTTCAGGCAATTTTTTTTATAAATAAATTCGGATACATCTGTATTAAGGGCCACCCTAATGTACACAAGGTCTTTAAAATGTTTATTATCTTACCTTAAATCTAAAAAATATTCGTCTCTGTGGGAAACATGATGGCACACCTGACATTGAAGCGTACTGACTAAAACTCCCCTAAATACTTGTTCTGTGGCTAACAGCATCTCGGACACTTGCTGTCCGTAAAACTTGATCATCTGCCTCTTTTCCTCGCCTACGGTGGAGGGATCTGTCTTTGTACTATATCCTAATAAACGTAAAAAAAAGAAAATAATATTACGTTCCAAACTCATGTTTAACAAAATACACGCAAAGGTCAACAACTTCTGCAACTCCCAGTGGACGATATGCCAAGAACGTACAACTTTGACAAACATGTCAATGTAGTATTGAGCAATAAGAAGGATTGGAAGAGCGAAACGCTTGCCCAGCAGTTAAAAGACCATACCATAACTTGGTATACTGATGCTTCCAAAACCAATACGGGAACAGGGATCGAGGTGTTTGGGCCGAGCTAATTACTCGAACCAATGGGCACTTAAGTAATCTACAGGAAGAAATCTACGCTATCGAGAGATGCGTACAACTTATCTTAGATAGGAACTATCGGAAACAAGAAATAGCCATCTTATCTGATAGTCAAGCAGCGTTAAAGGCGATCAACTCAGTATCAATCAATTCGAAATTGGTCAAAGAATGCATAGAAGCTGAATAAATTAGGCAAAGAAAACAAAGTCCTCCTACACTGGGTGCCTGCTCACCAAGGGATAGAAGGCAATGAAAAAGCAAATAATCTAGCTAGGAAAGGAGCGAACACTCCACTAACTGGACCAGAACCGTTCTGCTTTCCAAGTGGTAACCAACTCAAGGCGGAACTCAAGAACTTGGAAGATTCCATCCGCAACCTGGAATGGAAATCTTGCAATGGTCTAAGACACTCGAAGAAGTTTCTGAGGGCTTATGATCATGAAAAATCACAGATCTTCCTGGGTCTGAGTAAGAACAATCTTCGGATTGTCACGGGGTTTTTAACAGGACACTGTCTCCTCAATGAACACCTCAGTAGATTGAAACTAAGAAGAAACGGCGAATGCAGATTCTGTGGGGAAGATGGTGAAACACCAGTACACCTCATCACTGAGTGCGCCGAGACGACAACCATTCGTGCCATGAATTTTGGTACGACTGATATTGGAGATGGAGAACTACCCTCTATAAAACCGTCCCAGATACTGGCTTTTGTCAAAGCCCTGGGACTGTATGATGAGTTATGATTCAAGAAAGGGGGACACAATGGATCTGTAAGGTCGAAGTGATTAACCCCCCTCCCACTCATTCTAAATTCTAAAAATTCTAAAAGGTCAAACATGAGACGTTAACTTAAAAATAATCTTCACTTTTACACACCTAATTTGTCTAAAATAACGGATCTAAATCTCTTTTGGTCCTCCTCCCTGACTGCCTCCAATAAATGTCTTAAAAGTTCGTGCGAGTCGTGCTGTTCGCCATTACCAAACTGGGGCATACGAGATCCCAGTTTCTGCAGTAGATTTCTCGGGTTATACACCTCGCTTCTTCCACTCTGTAGCTCTCTTAAAGTGTCTGCCAAGGTCTGCATTATAGGTCGCCATCTTTCAGTTTCACCTTTAAAAAAATCGCAATCGCAAATAGAAAATTAATTTTCTACGTGTGTAGAAAAGCGCGTAGAAAATGTAGAATATTAAGTAGAAAATGTATAAAATCTGAGAACAGGTAAAAAAATTGGCACCGGGAGGCACGTATAGCCGCCCATACTAAAATATGTTAATAAAAAAAGTTGGTATAGAAAATTAAAATTTTAGTTTTCAATAAAAAACAGGAACAGATTCCAATTTTTTTTATACACAATAACTACTTCTTAGGTTTGACTGATTTTGATGTGTATTGCAAAATGTTGCATATTATGTCTTTTAATATTATTGAAAACCGCGTTTCTTGTTGTAATTTATAGTTACGATTTTTAAAATGCCAAACACCTTTCATACCAAATTACCCCCCAAAACTAATGGCATGATTCACGGATGCCACAGTATTAATGTGCCAAATACTGCCTAAAAATCGGTTTAGCTGCTTTTGAGCAAGCCTAAGTCTCATACAATCCGAAATCCGATGTACACGACGCACAGATGCTTCACGATCGTTGAATTTATTACCTGCTAACATTCAAAAGTACAACCTAAAAATATATTTTTTCAAGGACAAGGGCTAGGAAAATAAAAGTAGACTTGCTCTAGAGGACAAAAACGCAAAACTTCTCTTTTATTGTAGGCAATTTATTCAAACTAGGTTTATTTGACACATATGATGAGTACTCTCGTTGTTGTACTAAAGGCCTTGATGTTCTTAGTCCACGTTTATGAAAAAAAATCTGATATAAATCTCTTAAAAACGTTGGGCTGTGTTCCATTCTAAGGAAATAATAATTTAGTATCTTTTACCATGTAAGTATTAAAAATCCCTGTGATAAAAATAATTGGTTTATTCATTAGAATTATCTTTCCTACCTAAAATAAGATAATAGAAGATAAAAATGATTTTTCTTTAATGAATAAGAAACATTAATGCTATATTTAATCAAAAAAGTGCTCATATACTATAACTTTTTACTTTTAGGAGAAAAAAAATGCACAGATCGTAACTGGTAGGTATATGACAGAAGAATCGCTGCTGACAGAATCTTTCAAATTTTTAGTATCAAATCACAGGTAGATGAATGATCCTCATGCTTTATTATAAAGATGTTATCTTGCAAATATTATTCTAATCTTAAATTGAAAAACCGCGTTTCGGCTAGCTTCTGTAATTTTGGAGTTACGATTTTTAAATTTTAAACCCTCCCATACCACCTTCTAACCTTCCCCTGACCATACCTGTTGGTATGGTCTACATCAAAGCATTTTTCTAATATGTTACTTTTTCGCGTTGTTTCGCGTGTTCCCTTTGTTGGTATGGGGGTTCGGATGCATTAATAGTTACCTCTTTAAGAGACCATATCCATATATCATTTTTTCCTTTTCTTGGGTATGTGAGTTCTTATAATAAATTGAAAGATGGAAACTTTTTTTTTATGCGACGTTTCGCTCCAACATAGTGGGCTATTCAGGCACAAGTGGTGTCTTATTTGACTGGAAGGTTCATCAATCATCAAATAAAGAACACATTTTTTTAAAAATACAAATAATTTTGAGTTCTTGTCCTTATGGCAACTCTAAGTATTAACCAGATCGGCATTGCTTATCAATTTTACTTATTTAGAAAAGTATTATAAAATAAAATTTCGTCGCAAGCAGACATTAGGTGAACTATACAAAAATTAAAGTGTAACAATACATGACAACAAATATATTAATAATTACGATATGTTTTTGATATGTTTTTTTTAAATGCCTTTTGAATTTTGAAAATACGTCTTTCAGAATCGTAAAATTTTTATACACATTTAAGATTCATCTTAAAAAATAAATAAAAACTAAACAATCACGAACTTGTTTAGAAACAAAATTTAAAGTACATACCTTGTTTAACAATATCCAAAGTGGCTTTCAATTAAGTACGTACCGTTTCACTCCATAAACCAAAACAGATTTGAATGTTATTCTTTTCACTGATATAAGATAATTTCACTGATATATGATCATAAAACTTATTTTTTAGTAGAAAATATTGCTAACAAAAAACATGATTTGAAAAATTTATACAGGATGATTGAAATTGCTATAAGTCGATAAAAATACATATTCAGATATTAGAAAATTTAACTTTTGTCGATTTTGTCCATGTCGACGATTTATTACTAATTTAAAATCCGACGGTGCTCCTATTGGTCGAAATTTCTTGACAACGTGTATTTTTTATCCGATCCTTTTTGGACTAATACGTTTCTGACTTTCGTCTAATAAAGTTAAAATCTTGTTTAACGGTTAAAAAGTTTATATCGTGTATTTTAACCTCATACATATGTAGCTTCATTAAAATGGAAAAAGCCCCCGGCTCATTGATACGGAAAGTTCAGGTTTTTTATGAAGATATTGATACCACACACTTGGTATTTCGAGTCAAATTTTTGTTTTTTTAAAAACAAGTTTAGTGGGAAGTGGGCAATTTCTAGGATATTTGGCGAGGAGTTATTTTTATAAGTGCTTTCTCCAATAAAACATGACATGAATCTCTATTCAGCGCAGCAGAAAAATGTTAAAACTGTCAAATTTCGGAACGAACTTTCGGATGTATGTGACAGGCTTTTTTTATTTCACACGATAACTTCAAATTTCGGATGTCGTACCATCGGATTTCGGATGCATGAGACTCCGGCTTTATCGTGTTACAGACAGACGGACAGACAGACAGACACCATGAAAATATTTTGTATTTAGGTCATTTATGACCCAAATAACTCATTTTGAGTGAAATTAAAAATCTTTTTTTGCCATCTTAATAGCCTACCATACCTGTTGGTATGGTCGGCTAAAAACGATATAAAACAGGTATAAAATCTGAAAACATTAATTTTATATATTTAAAGCCGTTTTTTTTACTTTAGAGGTTTTCTTCTAAACGTTTATTTAAAAAACCTGTCCTAAATCTTAATAAAATATAAAAAAGTTTAAATACGATATATTTTTAATTTAATTATAGCTTCATTAAAATAAAAAATTACCCGGCTATGAGACGGAGAGTTCAAGGTGTACTTGAGAAACGAAAGACAGTGTTGTGTTTCTCGGCAGAGTCGTCAGGGAACGACCGTTACGACAGAGACAACCTATCTATCGCTCGTGTCGCACTCGTTATAACCTAAAACAATAACACAACAATAACAAGATATTGTCTGACCGCATGTTCCAGCTATTTATGAATGAGATGCTCAGTCTATATTTTATTTTAAGTCTATGGTTAAAACTGTAATATGTGTGCACTATATCTCTCTATTCTGTAACCCTGAAGATAAGAGACAGTAATCAATCTGAAGACTATTAGAATATTTTCTTCTGTTTAATCTGAAGACCGTACTGAAAAGTCTGATTTTTTTCTTTGGAAGTTTTCGTTGTTTCTTTTTATAATTTTACCATAGAAAGCATGTGGTTTCATAAATTATATATGTATGTATAATAATATTATTGTAGTTTGTAGTTCTTACTTTCATTATGTTAGATGATATTTTTTGTTGTTGTTCTGTTTGAGTCTTCAAAAAAAAACAAAGTTCACAGAATTTCATAGAATTATTTTTTAAACTTTTATCTTACTATTGAAAACTTTTAAGATATCTGATGTGTGTAACATGTCAAGGAAAATTTCGACAGACGACACCAGAAAATGACAGAAAATACAATATGCCTGTGAATAATAATGACACAACAGTCACTGGCACGCATTCTCCCGTTGTTAGGGTACATATCAATTTAAAATAATATGGAAGTTAATAGTTAAACTTTTTTTGACATACTATAATATACTATCCATTTGTTAAATAATAAATAACAATTAGAGATATAGTTATTAGTTTATTTATTGTACTAATGGTTGTGATTGAAGTATTTGAAATAAATATAAACTCAAAAAAGGCTTACAATATACAAAACTACTTTTCTACGTCTAGGCATGTAAAAAATGGAGAAAATTATTGGCGTAGAAAATTAATTTTCTACGTGTAGAAAATGCGGTAGAAAATATAAAATTTTCTACCTACCCAACCCTAACTCCAATATTGATTAATAGCTATACTCTGAATCAGGAAAGAAGACGATTGTACGTACGTGGGTGTCGTTACTACAAAAAATATGATTATGCAATCATCTTCTTTCCTGATTCAGAGTTTAACAACTACACAACAATAGCTAAAAAACGGTATAATTGTGCCTCTGATGCTTGGAAAATATACAGGGTATTGTGGGAACATTCTCCCCATTACAGCACTACTCTGATCTCAGAACAATTTAATTTTAAAATCTTCCTGCTTCTTCCAGTTGAAGCCTTACCTTCTAGTGGTTCCAGTTCGATACTCTCCTCTTCCTTAACTTTAAGTTCTCCACCAGGAAGACGGAAAGATTGGCCCTCCTTCGTTTCCTCCAACAGTTCCAACAGATACGGCGTTTGGCCTAGGCATTGCATGACGGAGTTGAAGAAGCAGGTGAACCCTAAATTTGCTAAGCCCCTCGGTCTGGACAGGCCGTTTCCGACTGAAAGTATCTTTTTTGGCACAGTGCCTGTACTATTGCTGATGACGGGCAATGTGGATGTAACATCTACAATCTAAAAAAAAATAAATGCCTTGATTGTCAAAAAAAATAACAATTTATAGACAAAGGTAAAGTAAACAAACAAAGTAAACAAACAAACAAACAAAAGAAAATACAAAACAAGTATACAAATTACATTCTCAGTTTTATTGTTTAAAATAGACATTTATAAATGTTTACAATGTCAAAGAATAAAAAAATAAAAATAAGATTTAAAAATATTTAGTAAGTTTATAGTAAATATAGTAATAGCAAACATTAGACCAGTGTTTACAAGATCAAATTCGATTATCAAAATATAAGTCATTTACGGCGTAGAAAGCTTTGTCTAGTAAATAAGATTTCAATGCTTTGCGAAATGAAGAAAATGATGTTATGGATTTGATTTCAAATGGCAGGTGATTGTGCATTTTTTTCGAGTTGTATAATATTGAACTTTTAACTAACTCTGAGCGTGGGGTAGGTAGATAAAGATCTTGCTCCGCGTTCCTGAGTGGATAAGTGTGAGATGGCCTTTCTTGAGAAGCTGATACATGCTTACTTATTAGGCAAACGGATTCAAATATAAATAAGGAAGAGTTAATATTTTTAATTTTTTTAAAAAAGTCCTGGCAATGAGTTCTGCTGTTTAGTCCCGAATAATATTGAACAGCTCTCTTCTGGAGCTTGAAAATGCGGTCAAATTGAGTCGCACAACACGTATCCCAGAATGGAAGGGCATATCTGAGGTGCGACTCAAAAAGTGCATAATAAACAGTTCTAGCCACTGACAAGTTAAGTTCCTTAGAAACAGATCTTAATGCAAAACAGGCAGAGCTTAATTTTTTGACAAAGCATCGATATGCATGTCCCATTTTAGAGAATTGTCTACAAGAAGCCCTAAGAATTTTACAGATTTTACGACGTCAATGGTGGTGTTGTTAAGTTCAAAATGGAACGTAATATCTACAGTAGGAAAATTCATGATTTAATTACTAAAAATTGTTCATTCTGAGCTTTAAAGGGGTGAAATAATTTAGAGCAATTACTTTTTTTCTTTTCTTTTTAAATCATGTTTAATACAGGGTGTCCCAATATTCCGTGGACATAGAACTACTATGTATTTTTGGAATCAAAATAAGTACCGGGTGGTCAACTAAGAATGGACGCCGGCTGTATCTCAGGAACTACTTATTGTATAAGTTTGGGAAAACAGTTCTAATAAATACATCGACCAAAACAAATCGCTGGAAATTATTTTCAAGTTCGAAAAATGTCCGCTATTTCTCTGATAGCCAATCAGAAAACAGGGTTTTTCTCAAAAATATGCAGATGAACAGGTATTTTAAATATTACTATTGTAATCATCGAGAAATCTGTAATTTTTTTGATATAGAGTAGTTTGCTCTATCTCATAAAATAAAGTGGCGGGGGAAGGTTAAACTTGCTTTTATTAAAATAAGGATAACTTTGGTTTGGGTTAGCCGATTTAAACAAACTAGGGTTCATTTAAAAGAGCTTTTCTTCCTTAATGATCTCCAGTATAAATTTTGTTTTCATATTTTTTTTCGTGGTAGCTAGACGGCGCCGTTTGACATCATAACAGATATTGCGCTTTTGCATAAAAATTTAAATAGTAGGTAATGATTCTTTTTACACAGTTAAATAGAGCATAAAATTTCCAAAATATCAGCGCAAACCGCAACTTTCTATCTTCTCTCTAACCGGAGATATTAAGAGAACAAATCATGTTAGGCTGCCGATTAGGATTATATGGTCTAAAAATTATAGTAGTAGGCTAGGAAACAAAAAGACGTAAATTTAGGCATCAAACCAGAAAAAAATAAATCCATTTTTTTCAAATATTAAGAACCGTTATTTCGATTTGAAAGAGATTTTGGGTGTCTATTAGTACCAGAGCTAGCAATGTCAGAAAAAAACGAGTATTTTAAGACGTCTGGCTCTTTGATATATCTTTTACTATGCTCTCTAGAACAGCATGCGGTCCGTCTGGCTGCCGGTAAACGTTGCGTTCCCTACTGCGCATTGAAAAAAGATCCTATATTTGTATTAGTCCTTTAAATTCTAGTATTGAATGTAATATGGGGTCGAACACACCATATGCGGAAACGCAGTAAGCTTTGACCACGAACCGTTCGAATCTGGCGAATCCGAGCGGGCTTGTTTTTATTTTTCGTTATATATTCTGATAGTAAAGTATTAAATATTTGTTTTTTTTAATTACCAGAATTATTTAATACTTTACTATCAGAATATAAACGAAAATAAAATAAAAAAAGTTTTTGCCCTGACCCGGATTCGAACTCTGAATCATCGGTTCGTGATCGGAAACTCTACGCACTGCGCTGTGGAGACATGTTCGATTTATATTCAATACTAGAATTTATAGGACTAAATTAATAAAAAATATAGGATCTTCTTCCGATGCGCCGTAGTGAACGCAACGGGTATCGACAGCCAGACGGGCCGCATGCTATTCCAGAGAGCATAGTAAAAGATATATATCTACAAAGAGCCAGACGTCTTAAAATACTTTCTCGAAAACGTTCCTAGCTCTTAGACTATATGTTTTTCTAAGTACTTTAACATTTGACTTTGACAAAAATCAAGAAAAAGTAGGGGAAGGGTGAAAACTACCTCCACCCCTAGAATTTAAAATATTAAAAAACCTCTTTTTTTAAAGTTTGATGCCCTCTAGCGGAAAAACGAAGCACTTTTGTATAGAGGTAAACTGTGTCTAATGAACTTATTATGATTCCAAAAATACATAGTAGTTCTATGTAAACAGAATATTGGGACACCCTGTACATACAAGACTTTTTTTAACACTGATTTGTAACACATTTTGAATAGTCTAAAAAGAAGATAAATGAATTTATAATAATAGGTACTCTGATAAAGTTGTTGCTTATATAAAAAGATCTGATAAAATTTGTTGCACATATAACTGTTTTAGAATGTAAATTTAAATAGAATCTGACATTATACACAGCCAAAAAAATATATGACCTCTAAATACTTAAAGGTGTATTATAAATAGTAAATAAAAAATTGAACATATCTTTTTGTAGAACATAAAAATAATGCAATATCTAGGTACTTTATATAAACTGATAAAAGCAAATGATTTTAATAAAATGAAGTTATAATTGAAAAAATATCATTAAATTTTGACACATCAGTGTGTTCATAATGATAAAATAATTGTTTCAATTGCTGACATAGGAAATTTAATTCCTAAAACGTATACATGCCTGATTAATTATAGATGCTTGCTGACTATCCATTGTCTTCTTTTGTTTCTTTAAATACTCTACGACCTCTAACAATTTCTTTTTACTTGAAGCATTAACATCATCATCACAATCGTAGCACCACACATTCCAAGTGGTTGTATTGACGCACATAGCGTGACTTTCAGAATGAGGAGTCTCGTAATGTTTTAAAGCATGCTTCTTCTTGCCCCTGCCGCAGGCTTGATTACCACACTTTAAGCATATCCAAAGAGACTGATCAAATTCGAAATCCGATTCTGATAATTCTGAGATTTCTGCTGGAGATTTGCTACACATCTCGCAATCGGACAAGAGCCCCGTTTTCGAAACGGACTTTCGCACTTTCGTAAAGTCGAGTGCTTTGTTAATGTGAACACATTCGGAATTGTTTTGGTTCTCGTCACCAGATTCCGACGAGTCGTCCACATTATTGGGGTCTCTTTGATGTTTTTTCTTGTTCATTTTTAGTTGTCTTTTTTATGTTAATAATGCAAATTAACGGACCTTGTGTCACACGTTTTGGTTAACCTCAATACTAATAATACACTCACGGTAAATGATCTAAATTAGTTACTTTTAAGGAGCTAATAAACAGTAAAATTCTACTAGATTATTTAACGTAATAAAAAGAACAATAGGATTAAATGAAAATCATTTTCTCAATTTTCTAACTATACATTGACAGTGACACTGACAATTAATGACAAATGACAATTCACTCATTCGCTCACAGATAATTTCTTCTTCTCTTTTTTTCAAACTTATTTTTTTTTAATTAATTTAAAGGCCAAAGCTACTAAGACTATCCAGCCTGTTAATAGGGTACTATCCTCGTTTGAGTGTTAATAAAATTAATGCTGAAACAGGATCCGCTTAAGCAGAAGTTGACATGAGAAATTCGATTTCGATATCTGTTTAAACACCTGATGTATGCAATACAGAAAATGAACTGTATAAATCGTATTAAATAATCGCATAATGCATTTTTAAGAACAGCAGTTCCCAGCATCACTTTTGTAATGTATATTTCGCTTTAAAATAATTAATAAATATCGTAGGCACTTAGTCACAATCTTTAAATTCACATTTAAAATCGACAAAATAATTAACTCAAAATTTCTGAGCAGTTATTTTTATTAATTTACCATAGGCAACCAATAATACACACTATCATGATAAGGACTTGTTCTTTCCGATATTATTCCGGTCCAAGGTCCAACCCTGTGGTCCAACCGGTCTTTCGGTCCATCCGGTTGTCGGTATACCGGTTCAGTATCGGTCCCACCGATCAATTATTGGAACCGGTATACCGGTTGTATGACCGTTACTTTGTGGTACCGAACATCCCTGCCTTAAAGAATTTCAATAAATACAAAAATACATCCGGACATACAGAAAGCCATAATTCTAAAAACATGTAATATAACCCGAACTTTCTTCAGACAAACATAGTAGAAGGTAGCCCGCTGGGCATACTTGGTATTGCTTGGTATAGACCTGTCTGTCTAGACAGGTATATAAAGGGTATATACAATAATAGAAACCGGTTGAAAAGCTGAGAAAAAAAGTGATGATAATAATAAATTCTTTAGTCTTTATTTCACAAAAAAATACATAAAATGATAACAAAATTGCAAGTCTGGCACAGTCTAGCTGCAATAGCTACTCAACTTAACCAGTACATGCAAACTTAATAACTAAACATAACGTTTTACAAATTGCCATAAAGAAAAATTTAAAATATATAATGCAAATGTAGATATTGTCTGAATACAGGTGAAAATTGAAAAAAAAAATTATGAATGCATTAGAAGATACTCCTTATACTTATGCATTTTCACTTAAATGCAAAGGTGCGTTCACATCGGCTGCGCCACGCCGCGCAAAACATTTTTTTAACATGCACTTTTGAGGTGTATTTTTTTAGCGCGCATAAAGGTATATGATAAAAAAATAATTTGCGCGGAGCGGCGCAGCCGGTGTAAACGCACCTTAATAATTATAACAATATCGAATAAAAACGGCGTCAGCGATGGCTATTAAAATTGACGATCGATGACATTTAACCATAGCATTTAACTTATAATCACAATTTACAGAATTTATAAACTTGTTTTCGTTATTGTTCTTTCGTGGTTTCCAATTTTCGGAACGGTCACTAGTTAGAATTACTAGTTTGCGCACATAGCACGCCCATTATGCCCTCCAAAATTGTGCACAGCGCCTGACCGGCACAGTTCTTAGAGAGATATCGCAAAACCAAATAGCGTCATGCAGTATTTACGCGTACCTTAACATGGTTACGATATGCGCGAGTCAATTTTTAACGCACCACCCACTAATAACGTTACAGCCTCACGTAATTTGCGGATCAATTACACAAAGCGCTATTTCTAAATACGTTTTTAAAAATTCCTTAATGGGCTTGTGCGGGTATTTGACAACCGGGGCCGGTCGGCCGGCGAGATTATTTTATGTTTATGTTTGAATGTTGAATTATTACTTTAGTATTAGGTAATTTGCTATTATTTAGCGGGATTAAGTTTTAATTAATAAATATGGCCCAAATATGGATTCCATTCTCTTCCAATATTAAAGAACCTATAAAGAGGCCTAAGTTTACAGCAGATGACGACTTAGCCCTTCTATGAGAATTTGTTGCTTGTTCCCTAAACCCACTGGCAGACGGTTGAACAATAAAGCACTGGAAACAAGCACTTTAGCCCTTTAGTTTTATAACAATACCTAGTAAAACAAAACATTTCATCAAGTTTTGTAAATTCAAAGTTAGGTTAAGTTAAATCGACGCGACGCGAATCAGAATTTCTTTCCGATCGATAACTATAAAATAGAAGAGAGTTAATACCACCTCACGTAAAGAAATAACAATCTGCCCTTGATACGTCCATGCGACGCTATTCGGCTTTTAGCGATATCTCTCAACCTAATTGCCGTGCTTTCCATATGTATTTTACGCGAGTTTAATTTTTGGCACAGGAAATATTTACTCGATGCAAATCGTTCAATTAAAAACATTTCGTACACGATTGGAAACATTTGCGGAGTCTCACCATCACAACCCAGACAAAAATATGAAATCAAATGCTTGCTTTCGTACCAGATATTTAAAACTCATTAAACCCTTAATTAAAAAAAAAAAAATATTTAAAACTCCTATTAAAAGTATGACCCGTAACCCATGTGCTATCTCTACATTTTTATCCGTTATACATATGGTATAACATTGGTATTGGTATAATTCATTTTTATCCGTTCATACGGGCGTTGGCGCACTCATTCGCCTCGGTTAATCAACGAAACGAGGAAGATGTGAAACAAATATTTATGGTGTTATGTGTGGTAGCAATGTAGCACAATTTAAAATTGTTTTTGAACGGTTACAGGGTGTTTCCAGAAATAGATCCATACCAAAAGTTATATTTTTTCTAATGGAACACACACACACCCGGTATTTTTTTCATTTTTTGGATTTATATCAACATCATGACATGCCCAATGGTCATATTTTATAAAAATATGTTTAAAATCTTTGAGTTTTGATACATTTAAAGATAGATTTAAAATGCATGCCACAATAGATAGAGTTTAACACCCTGTGACATTGCTTTTCAGAACTAATTCTTGTGCTGACTTTTAAGCCAGATACATAAACTTACTGAAAAATTTGATGGCTTTGTTTAATGTATACAGGGGTATCAAAATTTGCTGCTCTAGTTTTATATATATATATTTACAAAAAACAAAAAAAAAAAAAAAAAAAAAACACCCTGTATTTTTTTAATATAAATGGAAGCAGATTGCAAGATGGCTCTTTCAATCGATATTTCGGGTTCCTATTATTATCTAGCTCAGATTTGAATAAAAAAATATATTTTTCAATAATAATGGCAATCAAGATGGCTGGCAACGCCATGGCAATTAGCTAGTGACACTTGTAGCTATTTTCCAAATCGACATTAGTACTGAACAATATTATCTGCATTTCATACTAAAGGTTTACTTAAATTTTGCTACAATAGTTTAATAAAGCATGTATTTCGTTAATTTATGAGAAAAATCTAAAGCAGTATCTGCTGGCCGGAACGATAGATATTGTTACTAGTGATTTTACTTTGTGAGGAAAATTGCTTTTTGGTCTCAAGGGCTTATTAGGCTTCCAACCAAAAAAGATAATTCATAACCACAAAAAACGGGGGAACATTCCTTTAATCCATAGAATAAGTGCGTCCCTATATGAACGCAATGACTCGCATTCTCCTCTCTCACAAGAAGAAACAATCACCATGTAGTGTAGGTTCCTATTAAACAAAATTATTTAAGTAACAGTACCTGTTGTTGTGAAAGTATAAAAAAAAAATGAAATTTTTTTTTTTTTTTATTTTTTTTAGTCAGGTTTATAGACATATGTATATAAAAGTACCAGTAGTTATTCGTAAAATGTATCCAAAGATTGATCTACTTCTCCTGCTTATTAGTCTAGTGTACATCATAATATTACAATATTTAATAGAATATTAATTTATTAAACTTAGTGATTACCGATTAAATAATCTAAAAGTATAAATCTTCTAATAAAAACTTAAAGGATAATAATCATAAAAACTGTTAGTTTAAATAACTATAACTGTCATACCGGAAGTCCATGACATCAGGCCATCTTGGTTGCCGTTATTAGCAAAACAATGGCTCTT